AGTTTTATCCGCAAGATTTCAATACGGTAGCACCCCGGACAACAAAAAAGGAGCTCAAACTCTTTGAGAGAGATCAGCGATAGGAATGGCCCATGTGCTAATAGCAAAAACGTTTTCTGACATGCTGAGGCGCTTAAACCCATTGTCTTCGGGTTAGCATGAGAAGATAGGTGTCGTTATTATGGCTTGCAAGATCAACTACCAAGAGAAAGACGCGGAAAAACAAAACTTGCCCGCGAGGTATTAGTCGCCACAGGGAAGCCGCGTTAGAGCAGCACGTTAAAGAGTTGACAGTAGACCAAGTTGGAACTCTTCTTCCTCGACCGTGTGCCTAATGGAATCCTGCACCGTGGAATGCCCTCCCAGTCCCCCAAGCAGGTCCACTTGAGAGGAGGTATTTTGGTCGTGATGGTCCCTAGGGCTTACCGGTGGAGCGCCCAGAGCCTTACTGATCTCATTAGTCCCAGCTAGCTCATAACTAATTTCCTCTTAATGCCTACGATCTGTTCGTCTTGGCTTAGCTGCTTCGTCTCCTAAACTATCTCTCGTAACTGCGCTCATACAGTCTATCCTTTACATCCAAGATCTCACGCACGCATCCATATTTTACTGTGCCCATCCTGACACGCGCACAGGTCGGAGTCACGAATGACCCTCAGACTTTACAGAAGCCAAAGTCCCCCTAAGAATTGTTTTGGTGCGAACTTGACAGATGCAGAGGCCAACCACCAATCATTCGTACTTGTTATATACCCATGAATACGAGACCAGGAAGGAACACAATAGCGTGGTCGGATGGAATAGTATATTTGCGAGGTTGTGCCAAGGTACCAATGCGTTCCCACTAACTGGCAAGAGAGTCGATTACGAGCAGTGCAACTTAACATGACAGAGTTCCAAATGGCCTGGATGCTTGGCCATGTGCCTTCAGCTCAGCGAGCCTGATAAAACTATGAGGGCCATCATCAGTGTTGAATCTGGTCGAACCCCAGGCTATTGATTCTGCAGAAGTGTGTGGCGCCACAGGCTTCTTACCAACTCACTCCATAAGTTCCACATATAAATCCACAGAAATCACTCACTGTATGGGGGTTTCAAGCAGGAAAGCCAGGGAAGTTTCTTTTTCTTACAAAGAAGCAAAACCGAATGACGAGAACTAATCTCCATGAACTGAACGCGAGTGCTCAAGTATTCTCGTATCCCTGTACTTACATTACTGATGCTGAATGCTGGTAGTTACAGATGTAATGAACCACCTTCATCTGTGAAAGGATAAAAATTTTCAATCTTCTCGGGCTAACCAGAGCTACAGCAGTCGAGTGGGTAGACTTACTGCATCGGAGTCTACTGAAGACCTGGAACCGTACCGCAAAAACCTAGGAGCGGGCGAGAAGAAATCGTTTGATTTACACTAACTTGTAAAACATATTCGACTGGATATTAGCTGTCTTGTGTCGCAATGAGTGAGTTCAGACCCTGGGAACAAAGGCAGACTGAGAGGCGCCTCAAGTGCTTGTCTTTGGCCAACCCACATCTAACGATAGAACAGTTGAACAATGAGCAAGGGTTTTTATCGACCTTGTTCCAGATCGAAGAACCCTGCACCAGCTCTTAGTCAAAGAAACCAGTGGATCTAGTAGCCCTTGGTTCCACCGCCCTATCAGAAACTTATCAAAGCCGGCCATTCAAAGGCTGGCGACGCATTCTTAGCTCAACCCGTTTCTGGGACCTACGGCCCTCATGCTCTTATTCGCTGTACCTATAGTAATGCACGAGGCCTGCGCTCCATGGTACCTGAGTTAAGATTATTAGTTGATGGGGGTAGCCCTAGGGTAATAGCTTTCTGTGAAACTTGGCTTACAGAGAACATGAAAGATGAGAAAGTTCGTTTAGGACAGCTTGGCCTAATCAGAAAGGAGAGGCCGAAAGGCCCAGAAGTTGGCGTTGCTCTTTACACGTGCTCTTCCTCAAAAGTCCGTCTCATAGAACTGGCGCCAAATATGCCCTCTGGTGTAGCATTAAGTGCTTTGGAGGCCCGTGTTTAGTTGGGGCCTTATGCTGCCACGTTGAATAAAATGCTAATACAGTCCATTAGAGGAGCCCTGGAAGTGAACTTCTCACAGGTCCTAGTCGTGGGAGATTTTGACCCTCCTCAACTCTTTACTACAGAAAGTCCATCTACTGCTTTAAAAGATTTTCGGGAAGTGTTACTGGAAAAGTCCTAGACGGAACACGTCTCCCAGTGTACTCTCTGGGGGTTTGACAGTAAGGCATCCTGAGTAGATTGTATTTTCACAAATCAGTTTATCGGGGCGAGCGACTCGAATGTTTTCAGCCTTCTTGGCCCGAGTGAACATGAAGTTATCTCCTTCGACATTTCTATATCTAAGCCATCAGTTCCCAAACAGCCATCAGTCAGGAATTACAGGAGAACTGGTTTTGAGAAGGTCCGGCAAGATCTAGAGGGCCCCGCTTGCCTAAATCGCAATGACCTACTGGATCTTGATGCCAGATGGTACCTGTTGAAGAATGCAATCCTCCAGACGATACAAGATAACACCCCCTGATTCCAAGAAGGACCAACAAATTCTACTCCTCCTGGCTTAAGGCACGCGCAAACTAATGCGGCCATCTTGGAATCTATGGGCGTGCACTAATAGCCCTTTTGACTGGTTGAATTATAAGGACATTTGTAATAGACGTACAATAAGAGTCAGAAATGACAGAATAAACCACCAGTCACAACTTTATAGAACCCTGGAGGGAAATCATGGGATACTGTACTTGCTGATGAAACAGAAAGGTTACAGTTCATTCAGTTTACAGGACCCCATTGGCCTAGAGATACTCCACTCTAACTCCGAAGTAGCAAACCTACTGGCTCATGAATAGCAAAACAACTTCTCTCATTTGGGAGGCAAAACTACGAATCTGTCGGACAGTCGTATTACAGAGGGGCTAAACCATATGTAGTTCAAACCCTCTTTAATTATGGAAATATTAGAGAATTCGAACCCAAACAAGTTTCCAGGAGTTGATGGGATTCACCTAAGAGTACTCAAAGAGCGTACCGAAGCTCCAAGTACCCACTGGCGAACCTCTTTAGATGCTCGTTTCTGGAAAGCAGGTCGCCCTCCGATTGGAAAAGGGTGGCTGTCTTCCTAATATACAAAGGTGAAAATAAACTACTTGCCTCAAACGACAGACAGATCTCCCTGATCTCTTAAGTTGCGAAGGTTATGGAGAAAGTCATAAATGACTAGCTTCGTGATCACTTACTTAAGAAATCAATCCTAAACGACTGTCAATATGGCTTTCCACAGAGAAGTTCATGTAACATCAATTTGTTGATAGCTTGGAATAGCTGAACTCTCTCTGTTGAGCAGAAAAGGTCTAGTCACATTGGTTTATTTGACTTTTCTAATGCCTTTGACAGGGTATATCATGATATCCTTTGCAAGAAACTTTAGCTCATGGGTGTACACGGAAAATTATTAATTTGGCTTGGAGATTATCTGCTCACCAGGGTGCAGTCAGTTGGAATTGGCCCCCCTCTGTCTAACTGATTCCCGATGCTGAGTGGTGTGCCCCAAGGTACTATACTGGACCCACTACTGTTTCTTGCTTTTACCAGTGACCCGCCAGGGGTTCTTAATTCACATTCACTATTATATGCCGATGGGCTGAAGATTTGGAGGGAAATACAGGAGCCAACGGATGTTTCGGTCTTACAGGAGGACCTTAAGAAAATCCTTAAATGGACTACAGAAAACCTGCTTCTTCTCAATCGAAAAAGTGTCTAATTATGATGGCTGACAAGCATAAAGGCAGTCCCAGTGAGGAAACAGAAGACAACTCGACAAGAGAATGTTTATTACGAACGATTGGAATGGTAGTGGTTACATATGGTCATCCTTGCACTAGCGCAGCCATTTGCAAATGTCATAGTTTCCTCTCCGTCCTTGTTTTGATTTGCTCTTGACCGGCCCTTCATACACTCTTATCAGCAGTATCCCATGTAATACGCCTGTGTTGTCCCCTGCTTTGCTCCTGGCAGAAACCTTACCCATTGCTGGTAATTCCCTATGATTCCTGCCACCCTCTCGATATATACTACTTATATCCGTTGTTATCAGCAACGCCCACTACACCACTTCTTACCCTCAGGGTGAAATAAACATGTCACTCTGACATGGAACGGGATCTGGGAGTTACACTAGATGATACACTAGGAGCCTCAGTCCACTGTCACCCTACAGCCAATAGGGCTTGTGGAATCCTGGGGTTTTCCTCGCGAACTTTATGGTGTCTAACTCTTTCTCCTTTCACCACAGCGTATGCCCTGTACTTTCACCCTCATCTGGTGGAAAATTCGCTTGTGATGTCCCCATACTAGGAAAAGGACAAAGCCATCCTAGAACGGGTATAGATAAGAGCTACAAACGAAGTGGTTGGGTAACTGCACAAACTGTACCCAGACCGCTTAGGTGCTCTTCAGCTGCACCCAGTACAATCCGGAGGATCAGAGGGGAAATGATCGTGATTTAACGCATCACCCATAATCCCCACAATCCTAACAGATCCCTTCTAAGCTTTACTCAGAAACGCGACCTGAGAGGCCACCCGTTAAGAATAGAGTACGTACAAAGATCCTTGCTAACTCATTTGTGGTTAGAGTCTGTAAACTGCGGAACTCCCTTCCTTCAGCGGTTGTTACACCCCATCCCCTGGTATTTTTAAAAGGCTAGAAGCACACTTTGAGTCCTATGGTACCGATAGGATGTACTCGAAAAGCTTTCCGCCATCTCCAGATCAGGTGCAGTAATACTACCTTGAGACCAGATTAATTAATAATCGTATCTTTATCCTTTCAGGTTTTTCAGAACCAGGAAGATAATTGTGACCATTCCAAACTCAGAATGTATTCCAATAAGACAGACGTAGAACCCAAGGAAACGCTGTTCGCTAATTCTACAACACGAAGTTTGAAGTTTTAATTTCTGTATCCCGCGGGTATGAGGGTTTATGTGCTACGTAGCGCTGCGTAGTTCAATCTTATCCGGTACGCGTTTGGTTTTCACTTAACCATGAGGAAGTTACGAGGTGGTACTACTAAAGAAACAAAGAAGGATAAACTGCAAAGGAGGAAAGACATGCAAGAAATACCCGACCAAGTCAAAAAGATTGTTCTTCCCACTCTGGCAGCTGTTGTTGCCGGTTTAGTTTTGGTTTTGTACTTTATGACTAGACCTGCCACTATTGCAACAAGCTAATGCGACTCTCTAACAGTTACTAAAGACATTCCCACTTGAGTTATTTTCATTATTATGTGTGAATGATTTTGATGTTTTGTGTATAGGCTTGTTCCTCACCATAATTGCGGTGTACTGACCGCCAATCAGTGTAATATTTTTGCTTTCCTCTTTTCGTGACTTCATAATCAATATAATATGACTTAATTTATTCAGTATTCACGCATTACTTTCTTTTTTTCTACTGGTCTAAAAGTCAAACAGAAACAAATTGACGGGTAAATACTGCTGGTATTTGAGATATGAACGTTGTGGTTTATGTTCGCAGATTATCTTTCATATTTGCACTACAATTAAATGAAAACATTGCGTGATAATTACACCAACTTGTGTAACAGTTCAAGTTTAGACACCACATGAAACCTGTAGAGAACTATGAAACTGGAATTCCAGTGAGAGTAAGGAAGTGCTAACATGGATTATGATGAGACTTTCTAAACTCGCGATTCCTTTAACTGATGTGTATGTGTACCATTTGATACTTCTCTCGGACTTGAAATGTCTCCGATAAATACTAGCGGTATTTGGGATACGGCGTATTTTGGGTTTTCTGTTTTCAGTCAGACTAAATAGTTTGTAAGTGGAATTCCATAATCTCAGAAGTGGCCTTGGAGTTTGTGTGGAAGAATCCCGTACATTCACGTTAATTTTTAATATGCCGGGTGTAACAGAAGGCTTTTGCACAGCTTAAATGAAGTCATACCTGTTTTTTCTTCACGTCCATTGAATCCAAAAAAAGTCACCTGAGTTGCCGATTTCCTTAATAAAATGAAAAATTTATGAGGTGAAGATGACATAGAGCTGGTAGTTTGCAGGGTAAATATCTTATGACGGTTTCAGCTGACCGGTAGCTTATCGGCATAGGTTAGTTGAAGCCTAAAACTTAAAAAAATTCCATTTTTGTCCAAGAGTAGCATGTCAATTTCTGGTCTGGAAAGTGTAAATAGTGATTGTAAGTGTAGTTCAATCAGGACAAGCGCTGCATCATAATTTAACCATTCAGAATCGAGTAATAGTTAATAGTTGGCGGCGTCATCACTCAGAATAATTACTAGTGTGTTATGTTTGCGATATCCATGGTCAAGAAGTAGCCGTTACACCTAATTTTAGTTGATCTTACCCCTTTTTTGTCCTATGCATCATCACTCAAACCGAGCTGACTATAGTCAAACTGAAAATTTGACTGCAAATGAAGATATAGCCATAGATATGGATGATGTCTCTGTTCCCTCCGATGGTTTCGTTAACAGTCATCCTTCCATTTCAAAATATCCAGCATTAATGCAGTTCATTTCAGTGTTACTTTGCTAAACTTGATGGATATGTTACGCACCTAGTCACCAGGATTTATTCAACAACTTGTAGTCTGGCATCACTGCATAGCTTTCCAAGTTACCACTCCTTATGTCATCAGGGAGACAGATGGCTAGAGAAGTAGGGAGTAAATTAACCAAATCGATCAAAAGTCACAGGAGGAGAACTAGGAGGGAGAAAGCAATAATGATATTTGATATAAAGATCAACATAAAGATATTATTGCGGTCGAATTTTTGCCACAGATCGGTTCTGAGCCGTGTCACCTGGAGTCTCCTACCACCGATCTAGATTATCACGTGGATCCCAGCCGGGTAGTTTACATTCTACGTGGATTAGATCAACAGTCAAAGCCTGTGGGGACTAGTTCCACATCCTAATCTGTCTCTTACCTTTTCCAAGCCTAAACCTTTCAGCTGGAATTGCACAACGGGGCAGATGGTGACAAGGTATACGTGACACATGTCCTATCCGTCTTAGTCGGTAAAGGTTCGCAGCCTTATCAACTGACTTACCTAAAACTCCACTCTACTAACGTAGTGGCACAACAAAAGACCAAGGTGGTCGAACATTTAAGCCTCCTCATGTCATCTACTTTCAGTGGTCATGTTTTACGGCCTTATAGTAGGACAGAGGGGACTGCTGCGCAGTAAACTCGACCTTTAATAGATATCATGCCGAGGTAGTGAATGACTGGCTGTCGTCAATCGATCCTTTTGTATCCGTGCCGATTTCGTCAGTCACTGACTCGCAAAGGCTGATCCCACTTCTTGGGTAAATAGTCAGCGCGCTCATCTATTTTATTTCCTGTTGTTAGGTGGAGCACCAACACTTACTGACCCTGGAAAAAGTTTCCACTTGGGTGGTGAGAGATATACTTCCGAATTCTCAAATCATCAGTCAAGGTATCCAAAAGACATCATCTTCACCTAACAGGACTATATTATCATACTCTTTATCTACTATTGAGTCTTCTTTGACAAGGGCATGGAGATATTTGAGGATATCTATGAAGAAATCAAATCGTGATGGAAAGAGTGGGCATCACTGGACGTACGCAACTCAGCTGATGACTCGAACATGCTCGTGTTCGAGTGTAGTGCCTTCAATCGAGTGATAACTGACTGACTAAATCGACGTAGAACCTCACGCACAAGTACATCGGCTCAAGTTGCCACACTTCACACTAGTATACAAGGAACAGGTGGATAGGGAAGTAGTGATATCACACTCGATAAATTAGTGCCAGAGAATAAACAGTCTGAAGACGAAGACCAGTGAAGATATTCAAGCCCCAGAAGATGTTAAGCAGTGAGACATCTGCACCACTGCAACCATATTTCACCCTTGTCGTCAAGTGTCCCCACCCACCGATTTTTTCTGTCTCGGGGATCCCAACTAGGTAGTCTGCATCTCCCCACACAACTCAGACTAGCGTCGAACTTCACTTAGGCGTCGGATAACCATGGAACCTGGGATGTTGGATATTATTAGTGAAACTAGTTACCGTATGGCTACTACAAGATTTGTCTCCCTTATAAAGTTGAGTGGTCAGAGAAGTAGACCAGTCTAACGGCAGTACCCCTGATTCTCTCACACTACCTAGTACCTTCGTCACCTTAGCGATTTTCTACCTCCATCCTTGAAAACTTCTGGTGGTTCGCATCGTTTGAGGTTAGATACAGCTTTTTCAACTTCAAGGAGAGTTGGAGGGCTGACATCTACGTCCCGTTTAGCTCCAGGGTAGATATTGGGCGACTGAGGTATTGCTGAGGGCCAGTTGAACTGTGCTTCAAAGTTTTATTCATCTTGTGCTTCAAAGTATTCTGCCCAACGTTCTAGCCGCCTGTCCTTGGAGGTTACAGTCGTCCTATCCTTTTCGGCGATGGTTTCGCTCACCATCGCATTCTCCTTTTCAGTATCCCTAATAAGCCTAAATAGTTGCCGAGCCTTATCCAGCGCTGATGCTCTCATCTCTCGCTTTGTCCACCCACCACTGCTCGGGATTAACACCAAGCCTTTTGGTCAATTTGCGTCTAAATTGCTTGCTTTCTTCGTCGTAGTCAGAAACTGCCAACTGCAGTCAGTCTTCTCGCATCATTCAGTTCAGATGACGTCGCAGAAATTCAATAACCTTTGCTAACCTTCATGTGTAGGTAACCACTCGTCTTTACTGCTATTTTTGCAGCAGACTCAATCTGACGTCAGGTTTCCTCATGACGAGGATTGCTGTCACGTACAGATAAATGCTTATTTGACTCCTCTCTGAATGCGTACTTCGCGTCCTCATCTACCAATCGAGTACATATAGGCCTCACTGCCTCCTGTTTCCTGCTACCAGTAAGGGGCAGACATACACAAACCCGTACTAGTGCGTGATCGGAGTCCAAACTGATGCTCTAGAAGGACCAGCAATCCTCCACCTATCTTCTCCAACGATGGCTTATAGTAATGTGGTCTATCTGTGTCTCTTGTTAATAAGAAGTTGGTGGACGGCATGTAAGATGGCGTCTTTCGTTATGCGTAAAGTTGGTTCTGGTCAGAAACAGGTGATTGCCAACGCAAAATTGTAACAGACGGTCACCGTTGTTGGTTTGTTGGCGCGAGATTTCGTAAATACTCACAAGAAGAATTTCCGACCGTTTTAGCTTCCCTACTTGAGCGTTAAAGTCACCTGCCATAATGACTACATCTGAACGTTTCGCTTGATGTAGCAAGGTTTAGAGCTTCTCATAGAATTCATCATTTGCATCATCCGAACTACAGTTGGTGAGTGCGTGGGTGCAGATTATGAATAGGCTTCACCTAGATTTAATAAAACTCAATAAACTTGTTAGCACTGTGATTAAATTGGTGAAATTGTCTTATGGCAAGCCTGTTGTTCATTCGTTCAAACACTTGACCCCTTCCAGGCTCAAATCTCACTGTACTTACTTTAACTTCAGCATCTGGGTAATTTTGCAACCCAACACATTAAGTGCTGCTCGTAGTTTGCGGAAAAGGCCTGTAACGGTTAGATGAGTTACACCAAACATATTTTACTTATTCCGCATATACTTCGAAGTTTATCACTGTATATCTATTAACCCTGTTCTACCCCGATGAGAGTACGGATGATAGGTATAGAAGAAGCAGAATGTTATTTACATGTTTGAAAAACACATGAAACATACTTTTTCAAAATGTATTGGAAAGGTAACCCCAGAAAAACACTTATATAATCTATTCTGGTATTTACAATCGTCGATTAATCATTTTGTTGTATTCGCATTTGATCCAGTTTTCATCATAATCTGGACACAGGTATAAAATGACCGTTAAGCATCTTTTGCCTTACTCTTTGTAATATCAGTCAAAATTCCGAATTCTCTCACTCAGGAATTGGTTTTAATTTAGAACCATATGGTGTTGCAGTTACTCTCTGTGTTCGGTCACTGCTCCTTCTGCTTTATAATTTGCTTTCAAGGGAACTATAGCATGGGAAATTTTTATATATTTTGTGTAACTGTTTATTAGCTTCCTAGTCAGTTTCATATCAAAAGCACTAAACAAATTTTGTTAAAATTTTCCTGCAAATGGTAATATCTGTGAAGAAACCTAAGGCACTTCATCATTTTTCAAACGTCAACAGATTATAAGCACTCTCCTTTTCACTAATATGCGTTTCATAGTTTCAGTTCCCATAATTTTAAAGTGTAAAAAACTTCAAGTGTTCAAATTATGAGTTATACATGTATATGTTCTAAATGTTCCGCATAAGTAACGTTTAGCAAGTTGCAGAATTAACTTTACCTTTAATGATGTGTCCGTAGTGATTGGGTGTTTCAGATTTTGATTAAGTCAT